TGCGTGCGTGCGTGCGTGCGTGCGTGCGTGTGTGTGTGTGTGTGTGTGTGTGTGTGTGTGTTCATGTTCTATCTGAAACAAAAAAATCCTTGTTGTGATAATATTAATTGACAACCACATTTATTGATTCAAGCTATGTCTTACAACACCAATTACTTGCAACCTTCCATGGATCCAGGTTAATTGGCCAAAATCTCTGTCCTGAATGAAAACTTTCTCTTGTTGGGGTGGAAAAATATAAACAAACAAATATGGTACCAAGTGACAAAACAACAAAAACAAAACAAAACAAAAAAAACAACAACAAGGAATATGGTGTATAGACTGGGACTGGGGCTGGGGCTGGAGAGGTAGTTCAGTCCACAAAGTTCTTGCCTCCCAAGTGTGCAGACCTGAGTTCAATCCCCCAAAACCCCCATTTTACAAACCAGACATGTTGGCATGTTCTTGAATTTCCAATGCTTAGGAGGCAGGGATGGTTGCATTCCTGGGTCTGTATGGCAATCCAGCTAGTTAATGAAGAGATCCCGTTTGACAGGTAACCAAGGTACCAAGGTGAGTGACACCCAAGGAAAGACATCTGAGGCTGACCTCTGGCCTACACACACACCTGACGTGTGTGTGTGTGTGTGTGTGTGTGTGTGTGTGTGTGTGTGTGTGTTCAGGTGTGTGTGTGTGTGTGTGTGTGAGAGCAGGGTGTGTGTGTGTGTGTGTGTGTGTGTGTGTGTGTGTGTGTGTGTGTACTTAGCCATATACATATATACAAAAGAAGGAAGTAACACCTTGATAGATGGAATGCAACACAGAGACTAGTTGAAGGTCATGGTTGAACTCAGTCTTAAATGACAGAGAAATCGTGATGATGTGTGGGCATCCAGATGCACTTCAGAGCTTCAGTAGTTTCCATCGAGCTAGGACCTGTGGCCTTGTAAGAAAATAGCAATAGACAAAGACAAAGCAAATCCTCAAAAGCGATAATACCTCACAGCCTGCAAGTCTCTCACTTCTCTTATGTAAAGGCTTATTCCAGGAACGGGGGAGGAAATGTGCATTGATTGAGTTATCTAGTACATTTGTGGCAGGAAGCTTTGAGTTGTAAGGGTGTCCTAGGTAAATCCCACTGCATGAGTGTCTTATGCTTTAAAATTAGACAAATTGATACTTAGATAAAGCAATGACTTGTCGACAGTCTATACAGAGTTTTAAACCAGGGTCCAGGTGGTTCCCAAATCTGTTCTCTTTTTTGCTGCAAAATCCTATCCCTTTTTTCTATGCATAAATATTCTTAGGTATGGAATGGAAAGCATAATATTACACGCCTAAAAAGCATGGTGAATCATTTATATAGCTATGGCTGACCCAGGCTTAGCATGATTTCAAAGTCGTCTTTGTAGGCTTGCAGAGGAGAAAAAAAACACTACTTCCACATTAACCTTTAATAACACTGAGTATGAGTGGTCAGTGGGTGGTGGCAGGGAGAGGCTAGATAGATGTATATCTTGAATCTGAGAGTGTGAACTCAGGAGATGAGCATCTAATTACATGAGTATATGCAGAATTCCAAAATCTTTTCCTCCTAATGGGCTGACTTAAAAAAAATGTTTCTGAATAAGTTTGTGACATTTAGTTTGTAGTGACAAGAGACAGCTAGATAGGAAAGTAGACTCAAAATTCAGCATTAACAAACTCAAAACATTGAGGATCTTATAGAAAACCAGCACGACAGATTAAATCTGTTCATTCTTCAGGGTGAAATCATGCTTCTTGTTATGTTCCAAGTCCTCCTATGAACCAGAGGGCCCACTCAGAGGTCTGAACACCCATTGATGGATGAACTTGACAACGAGTCGCAATTCTGTGGGAAGCACCAGGGACTGAGAACTCATGGAATGGCCATCACCAACACCATGCACTGGTTGGAGTGAAGCTTGGTGGGCACTCGGGCAGCCACATTTCCTCTTCCATCCTGCTCGTACTAGTCCTCTCTCAGGACAGCACAACCTAATAACTCTGCCTCTTCGTTTTCTCATCTTAAAACTTCCTATTGCACTGACCTGTCAGATGATGCAGTCTGCTTGGAAAACATAGACTGAACTGCTGCACTGCAGAACTCCGGTCAATAACTCAGCCCTGGCTGCTGCTGTAGCCACTGCTGCTGTAGCCAATGCTGCTGTTGCTTCCCAGGATGCCGTTGCTGTGCCTGCAGCCACTGTGGCTATTGCTGGGACCACAACCATTAGTGATTCTCCTTTTCTCCTACTTCTTCTCTCCTTTTGTTTTCATTTTTTTCATTCTGTTCCTTCCCCCACCTCTTTTGTGTTCTCCCTCTTTCTTCCTCTTCATCTTCTTTCTCTTATTTTTGTTCTCCTTCTTATCCTCCCCATCTTCTGCTTCCCTTTCACCCCCTCGTGCCCTTCCCTCCCCTCATCTTATACTATAACCACTATCACTACATTGTCATCGCAGCTGCAGTGGCTTCCATGCACAATTCTCAGCCTCTGTGACAGTCATTTCTTGGTTCTGCTTTTTCTCTTCTGGGCACACTATCTCAATTTCTGTTTCATAGCTTCATTTCACCCCTCACTGGGGCCCTTAGTCTTAGGTACAGCTGTCATGAAATGGGGAATAAAAACTCCCTCCCAAAGACTGACAAATCTTCATTGACATTTCCAGTACAGGCACTTTAGACATAGCTCTTCTGTATTTTAAACAAAGCTACTTTTTCATACAGTCTGCATTTGAGCATCCCTTGGGCATCTCAAACTCATTCTGACTGCATCTGGGCTCCTGACCTGTCCTTATAGTCAGCCCTGGATGGATGTGTGTCTTCTTCAGGAATGGCCCAGTGACTGTCATGTCGTGATAACTACTTAGCAACTATTTTGAAACCCCTATTCTCTCCTCACCAACATTCACCTGCTCACGAGTTCCTCTGCAGCGCCCTTTCTAAATGCCCATAGAATTTACTGGCTTATCTATGATACCTGTCGTAGAAACCTCGACATTGAGCATCTAACCTACACTAACCTTAACCACCTTATTAGCCAGATTGTGTCTTTCATCACTGCTTCCCTCAGATTTGATGGACCCCTGAATGTTGACCTGACAGAATTCCAGACCAATCTGTTACCCTATCCTCGAATCCATTTCCCTCTGGCCACATATGCCCCTGTCATCTCTGCTGAGAAAGCCTACCTTGAGCAGCTTATGGTAGCAGAGATTACCAATGCTTGCTTTGAGTCAGCCAATCAGATGGTGAAATGTGACCCTCACCTTGCTGCCTGCTGCTGTACCATGGGGATGCGGTTCCCAAAGATGCCAATGCTGCCATTGCCACCATCAAGACCAAGCATACCATCCAGTTTGTGGACTGGTGCCCCACTGGCTTCAAGGTTGGCATTAATCAGCCTCCCACTGTGGTACCTGGTGGAGATCTAGCCAAGGTCCAGAGAGCTGTGTGCATGCTGAGCAACACAACCATCACTGAGGCCTGGGCTCACCTAGATCACAAGTTTGATCTGATGTATGCTAAGTGTGCCTTTGTGCACTGGTATGTGTGTGAGGGCATGGAAGTGGGGGAGTTTTCTGAAGCCTGTGAAGACATGGCTGCCCTAGAGAAGGATTATGAGGAGGTTGGAGCAGACAGTGCTGAAGGAGATGATGAGGGTGAAGAATATTAGCCCATGTGCTTCAATTTTACACTTCATTGTCTTGTATTTGTTTTTGTATATGAATGTCTTAAACTATCAATAAAGGTGTTTCTAGTTTAAGTGGGGAAAGAAAGAATTTACTGGCTTGTCTCTATCACCCACCTTATTCCATAAGAATGTTCATTGTGTCACTAGGACTATGGTCACAACTTCCTAACTTCTATGCTAGCCTCCTCTAGCTTCCCTCTCTATTTGAAAGGACTTTTAATGCCCTTTGCTCGTGTGTGTGTGTGTGTGTGTGTGTGTGTGTGTGTGTGTGTGTGTGTGCCTGGACATGTAGAGAGTGGAGGATGACTTCAGGTGTCTGTTTTCAGATATATTTATCATGTTATTTTATTTTATTATTGAGATAAGGTCTCTAACTAGCCTGGAACTGGCCATGCAAGAAAGGCTGGCTGTCAGCAAGCCCCAGGCATCCATCTGTCCCCGCCTGTCCAGCACTGGGATTGCAATCACTGTCACAGCACTCGGCTTGTTAAGTGTCTCTGGGGACCAAGCTGAGATGCACTGGACTGAGTTAACTCCCCACTATTTTCTGTTCTTTGCTCTTAAAGTTCAAAGTTGGAGTGTTCTAGAGGACCCTCCTCCCATCTCCAGCCCCTTTAACAGCTTGCTTGCTTTGCCTCTGATTGCAAGCACATATGTGGTATCTCCCCTGCCCAAAGAGGCAAATTCTTCCAATAACAGAGTCTCCATTATTCCCTTAGCCTGAGCAACTCTCCCTTAGTCCCCAGTCCCTCACACATCTGCAATGGCACTTCCTTAAACCTCTGATCTGGACTGGCTTCCTTTTTGTCAACCTCCATGCACCTTGAGATTTTCCTTATAGTGTATTTATTAGTGAAATATTTTAGAAGACTGTATCCTGGCTAGACCTTGAAGGCCAGGGAAGATCCGTTTCCCTACTGCCAAGAGCAGGAACTGGCACAAGGCAAATATTCAATGAGTCTGTGTTGAGAGAACACACCAGTGAACTGTTGCCATTATTCTTACAAAGCCATTTGCCCTCTGGCCACTTCAGATCCCTGTTATTAACTCTCCATTCTGTGAGATTGGTTTCTCTTATTAAAATCACTTTTCTGAACCTAGCTACTTCAAATTTGACTTCCCTTCCACTGTCCCCAGCAAATGTGGAACAAACCTTAATAAATACAATGGGCTCTGATAAACACAGGTTCCCAGTATGTTGGGGTATCTCGATATGGAGAAAGAAATCACCATCCTATATGAGTCATTAGTTCGTTACCACCTTTTGAGGAAGAGACCATTCAGTCTCAGAACACATGTCAGATAAAGAACCAAGAGTGTTCTGGTTTGTTTCTTGTTTTTTAACTTTTCCTTAGGAGCTGCACAGACCTGAGTGCCCAAAGATGGCAGAAAGACCCTTGTGTACAGGGCTGGCCCCCAGGTACCACATGACTGACAGCACTCTGCAGATAAGAAGCAGCAATCGTCTGCCAAGTAGCCCCTGAGGACTTCTGCCAGCCAAAGAGAGACTCGGGGGAGCATGGATTGAAATAACTGAAATATACACCACGCAGAGAGAGCCAGAGAAAGAGAGACTGCCTTATCAGTACCTTTAGCACAATTCTAAAGACCAAATTCTCAAGAGTCTTTTAGAAATAATTGCATTGGCACAGGCCTATTGGGTCACTGTCCCTGAAACACAAAACAAACCTCACCCAATCACATACCCTCATCCATAAACAGCTGTCAGGCAACTGAGTGCAAGCACAGCTTATGTTTATGCTAATGTTTGGCTCTTGTTATCAGAGCTCCCCATTCCCTGGAGAGATTGTTCATTCTCTAAAGGGGGCTTTGGGGCTTGGAATGTCTGGGACATGGGAGAAATATGGTTAGAGCTTTATCAGACCTGCATTTGCTTCTGTGGCCTCAAACCAGGGACCCTGGTTCCAGTGTTGTGAGCCAAGGTGCTGCCACTGTCACCAGGATATCAGTGTGCCCTCTGTGTTAGCTCCTCAGACAACATCCAGAGCACAGAACGTGCTGCCATGGTGTCTACTGATGACTGACTTCTCGATGCTTTCTAAAACCTGAGAGTAGATGATTCTCCCACAAAAAGAGCAGAAGGGGTGGAGGAGGTGGTCCAGTGGTCCTCTTGGATTCCAGCATCTATGTGGGGTGGCTTATGACAGTCTGCACCTCTAATTCCAAGAGATCTGATGCCTCTTGTGGCCTCTGTGGGCACTGCACTCACATGTGGCATAGATATACACACAAACATATAAGTAAAGTAAAATAATATAGCAAATATTGAAAAGAAGGTAATTTGAAAAATAATACCAGTTATACATTGAACACATACCAAAGTTCATGCTGACCACTATACATGCTTTACTTTTAGTTAAATGCATATAAACCTCAAAAGTCACACCATTTTTGCTGTTACCATTTTACAAGTAGGGAAGCTGAGGTCTGGAGCAGTAGACTTGCCTTGCATTTCCATTGATGGGCAAATAACAATGATTTCAAATGCATATATTTGCACATATTATTATAAAACATGAACCCTTAAAGCATAAAATGAACAATAGCTGATGTTTTGTGAACCCGTGGGATTATTGAAAAATTTCAGTGAGAAGAAGGAATAAGGAACAGCAGAGCAGGCCATCTAACCTGCTGTAGGTGACCTGAATTACAATCAACAAGTGTCACCCGTGCCAGTCAGATGTGTTCCTGCTGTTACAGAGAAAGACACAAGCCCATGGTGAGCTTGCTCCATTGCTGTGAGCCTGAGGTGAGGCAGGGCATCATGGGTGTTTGCCAAAGCAAAGCTCTTCACCTCACAGCAGCAGAAAGCAGAGAGGCAGGATGGCACACACAACAGAACGGGACCTGGAAACACACACTTGTCCTGACATCCTTACCTAGCCACTTTTGAACTACTCCTTGAAAACAGTATGTGACCCTTCTGGTGCTTGGTTCTGCAACTCAAAACTGAAAAATTAAATTTCACCTCTGAGCCTGTTTCCTCAGTTGAGGGTGACTACAATAGGGGGCTGAAGGACTTAATTAGTGATTAAGGGCACTTGCTGCTTTTACAGAGGACCGGAGTTCAGTTCCTAACATCCATGGCAAATGGTTTACAACCTCCTATAACCCCAGATCCAAAGGATCCAAAGATCTCTTCTGGTCTCTGAAGACACCTGCACACTACACATGAGGCAGACACACACAGAGAGATACAAACAAAATAAGGTGAGAGAATTTTTTAATAAATGTAGATGATAATACTTGCTGCAGAGGGTCAGCATGAGCCTTTTGAAAGTTCCAGGAAAATGTGTAGAAGGCTTGGTACTTTTTTTGTCTCATTTTGTCTGGTTGATTTTTTTTCAAAGGAGGAAGAATTTAGTTTGGCTCACAGTTCAGAAAAACACATATTTGGTGTGTCTATTTTCTTTTATTTTGTTTTATTTTGTTTTTAAAGCAGGGTCTCATGAAGCCCATAATGACTTGGGTAGACATGAATTGACCAGGTAGCCAAGGATGATGAACTTCTGACCCTCCTGGTCCCAGCTCCTTCTCCCTGGGATTGCAAGGCTGCATCAGAAAGCCCTGTAGGCAGTGCTAGGGCAAAACCCCATGGCTTTGTTCTCATTAGGCAATTACTCTACCAACTGAGCCCCAGCCAGGCCCCTTGGTGCAATGTTTCCACACAGGAGATTTGCACAGCAGGGAGGGCCAGACTTTAGCTCTGCAGCGATTTCCCTTTTGCCCTGCCTTCCCTTTATGTGCCTGCAAGGCCAAGGAAGATGAAAGAACCTCCAAACCTGTCTGCCTATGAAGATGTGCCATCTGACTTCTCAGGCTTGCCTGCGGGAGCAATCCAAAGGCTTCAAATAATTGTCTTGATAGAACCAATTCTGAGAAAGTGCATTACAGGAGGCAAGAAAATTGCCTAATCCTCAAGCTCCGAGTCTTCAATTTGCAGAAACTCAGAATCAAAATAATGAGAAAATGAAAATTGGGTCCATTCCAGGGCTAGTTCCCCAGAGAATGTTGGCTGTCATTCACTCCCCTGGGGAAGGTTCTACCTATTAGGGTTAGAAGTCTTTCAGACTACCTGGGAGCATCCACGAGGTCAGGGAAGGATACGATGGAGTGACAGGAGGAACACATGTGTGGCTGAACAAAGAGACCTAGGAGCCCACATAGGTCAAGAGGTCCAGCTCATCCTCTCACCCACTGTGTGACTCCAGCAATGTTCTCCACCACCATGGCATCCTAGGGAAAATGTTACTGTGCACTGGAGTGTGTCCAGCAATTACCAACAAAGATCAGTTGTTAAAAGCAGACATCTCAGGTCCACAGCCAGATTTTGTTTCTTATTAGCTACAATATCAGTTCCCCCGTGCCTCATTGAGACAAAGGTGTGATAGTACCTAACTATGAGATCTTTGAGGTTTCAGTGAAAAAAAAATGATTATAGACAATACAGCACATCACCCAACCCTCGTGTGTTATTGTTTCTGTCATTCATTGGATCTAGTCTTCAAGTGCCTGCAGTTCCCCACTTATGATGGTTCTGCTTTATGATGGCAAGAAATCAATATGAATTCAGCAGAAACAATACTTTGAATTTTGATACTTTCTTGGTGTTTACAAAAAAAGATGCAGTACAGTCTCTCACTAATGATGCCCCACAGCGTCAGCAAGTCACAGCACCTACACAGCTTGGTAATCAGAGAGGAGCAACTGACACCGCAGTGTACCATGTACAGTTACGGATCCAGGAGGATAGGCGTAAACAGTGCACTCCCTACTTGTGATACTTTCAAGTCACCATGAACTTACTGCGATATGGCCCCACAGTGCAGAAGTTGGACATGTGGGTCAGCACGATGACTTTACGATCAGCTCACCTCAGGTTTCACCCTAGGCATCACCACTTCCTGGCTGAGTATAAAACCTAGGACAGAATTTTGGAGCCTCATTTTCCTCATCTACAC